CAGCGCAACAGGTCACCACGCAGACGTTGGCTAACACTTCCTTCAACTTCGTCAAGGACAATCGGCCAGCCTCGGCATGCCACAACCCAGGGGCTTTCTCCAATTCGCTTCGCACCTGATGGCTTGTCTGCGCTCATGAAGCTACGTTGCGGGTTTGATTAATTTAAAGCGTTGACACCCAACACCCAAAAACTTTAACTCCTATCGCGCTCACAGGGAACCTGCGCCACCGATGACTCGCAGAGGCGCACCAAGGAGATCATGCAAGAAGCAACCTCATGGTCTATGACCATACCTGCTTGCGAGAGTGGAACAACAAAGGCGGACAACACCTCGGGCAGCTCGCCGGGCTTGAACTCGAACGTCTTTGTGTTAGACGGGCAATGTTGCCACAGCATCTTGGCACATGGAAGTCTCAGCTGCTTCTCTTCTAAGACTCCAATCCTTTCGGTAAAAACGGCCGCTCCGCTGACCAGACGTTGACTCAGGCCGCACACCTTCAGCTTGTACGGCCCGTGGCTGTTCACCTCTGTGAAAGACTCGGCTCGACGAACCAAGTGTAGTGTTAAAAGTCCATCACCATGGATATTACTGGTAGCCAAACTAAGATACAAATCTGGTCTTGAGACTCGAGCGAAACGAAGATGGGTCGAGTGATTCCCTGAACGCAGTTTTAACATTCCAGCTACTTCGCGAAAACTTAACGAAGCAACTCACAGCTAGTTACACATAGCACTGCAGGACCACAAACCTACATGAGGGTCGCTGGAAAACCTAACTTACAGCAAGGTTTCGGGCCTCCGCCTCTGTTGCCTGAAGTACACGATCCAACGCGCTCGTACTCGGCAGCTTCGCCACATTTATCGGCAACTTGTTTTTCAAGTGTTGCCACGAAGCTTCCAAGGACTGCGAGACAGTCAGGGCGGTCAGGCCGGGCGTTGCCTCAGTTGCAAACTACCTCTCTTGCACACCTCTCCGTCTCCGTTTCCCTCTCTCTGTCTTTTTCCTACGTCTCCCTCTGTCCAACCCTCTTCTTTGTCTAGCACCAAGCGGCGTCTTGGGACTGAAACTTGGGAGGGGTGCCAAGCACAGACACATGGCATCGACATGGGGATGTCCACATCTCCTCCAAGCCAACCTTCCTTTTCTCGACGACTTCTGTCTGCAGGTACTGCACGAAATCTAGTTCGCCTAATTCCACAAGGCGCTGCAGGAGGCTGTCAATGTAGAGATGGAACAGGGGCTGGGAAAAGCCTAGCGCACTGAATGCGAACTGCAAATTTGCTGCCACCATGCTCTTGGTCTCCTTGCTAGCTCCACCACGCCGAACGATCGTGGCCAGCTGGTGTCTCACATCCAGAATGAAGACAGTGCCGGGAAAGACTCTTCTCAAGGCATTTTGCCCAGCCTGGCTTTCATCTGCATGCACTTGGTGCAACATTTCGCCCAATTTGTTGCCGCGCTGCTCATGCCACTCTTTCAGAAGGTGCAGAACCGTCACCATCTGCTCCTCCCCTTCCTTGGGCACATACCCCAAAGCAATCGTCGCCAAGCTTGTGCGCGGCAGCCCTTCCTCGTCATATCTCTTGCACGCAAGACAAAACTTCCACAACCCCCAGTCGCTGGAGAAAACTTTGTAGGTGCAATCATGCGCGCCAACCAGATAATGCCCACTGCCTGCTTCCCCTTGGGCTTGGGCAATAAGATCGGCTGCAACCTTGCTTGACACACGATCAAAAGCAAAAGAGCATCTACACCTGGGGCACCACCAAAAAGCAAACACAGGCCTAACTGGCTCGTGCACCGCACCCTCTATCAGTGTGAACATTCAAGTAACCTCTGCGAACTTTTGGCACATGACAACTCCGCAGCCATCTGCCCGTGCAATAGTCTGCCACGGTGTCTCTGCGTCATCGATCTCTTTGAGGTGCTCCAGCCACTGCCCCAAGGTAGTGCCCCCTCCCGCTTCAGCTCCCCTGTCCGGCTGCCTGGTGGTTCGTCTCCTGGCCTTTGTCAAGTCTGCTTTGGATGGCCACTCTTCCACGTCCACACCCTTCTCCACGAGCCGCACCGTAGCCTGCATAGGAGTGTTGCTCTGAGTCAACGCGTTGGCTTGCTCCCTCACATCCACAGCTGTCCCCCGCACCTTGCGCGGCTCCTCCGCATGGATTCCTTTGGAACAGACTTCGTGCTCCTTTCCGCCAGCCTCTGCCGTGGAAAATTCATGGCGCCACACAAAAGAGCATTGCTGGTGAGAAGTGCAATAAGCATAGAAGACTGCGCCGTCTCGCATGATGCGCCCGGCCCTGACTCTGGTCGCACCAGCCACTCCAGCCTGCCACTTCTGCACCTGTGAGCGACATGCATGTGCATTTTGTATGTCGAAATCATTCGGGAGCTTGTTCGTCGCTTGGCGCTCCCACGCCATGCTCTTCACGAGCGGCCGGGCCGCGAAAGGAAGGTGTAACAGCGCAACATTCAAACATACGGAAGTGCCAAGTGCGCTTTGCTTCTTTTGTCTTGGGGCTTTTTTTGTGTGCACTTGACTTCTGCAGCGATGCTGCGGAATTTGGAATTGTTGTCTCTTTGATTCGTTCAGGGCTGCTGGCATTCCAAATCCTGAAGCGGGAAGCGGCAAAAGTCAACATGAACCCTTGTCCACGTTCCAGGGCCGACATGGATCCCTATTAAGTGCTAGTAACAGCTAAGTCCACCTTTTACTGCGGACACTTACAAGAAAGGGTTAAAAAATACTTAGCACTGACACGACGAGCCTTATAACTGAAGTTGATGTAATTTAATATAGTAGTCCTGCCATCAGCGTCGACTCTGAAAATAACTTTTTTGCTCCGTCCTTCTGCAGTGTCGTGGGAGGCACCTGTTATCAACTAATCACTGCCAAGTAGCATACAAGGAAGTCAGTAGCATACAAGTAGCATGTAAGGTAAATAGAGCCCCCGGCACAGGCAGTGGTAGGCCCCCCGTAGCGGGCAGTGGAATAGTAGAACGGTATAAGGTCAAGAGAACCGCCGGTACGGGCAGTCGTAGGCCCCCCGTCGAGCGGCAAGTGGGATATTAGAAGGGTATAGCTGTATAACTTACGGTTCTTGCTTGGGGTCCTTGGGTCCCTCTTGAAGCAAACAAAACGGCAACAAGTAACATCGTATGCATTCTTGATGTGACATTTGGATCATGACGCTTAGCACCCGTCGAGGCCAAGTGTTGGCAGCAAACTGCAACCGACGCCGAAGGCAGCGTTCTCTGATGCGAAAGAATACGAAGCCAAGCGAAGGTTTTTCACCACGTTTCCCCTCCAACATCTGAGACAAGATTGCTCCGTGCACCCGGTCGAATGTTTCTGTGATTGTACCACATCTCCTTCCTCTCACATGTTAGATAGCTTTCATGTGTGCAGTCTTTTCTTTTGAACTTGAAGAGGAGTTCACGCAAAACCAAACCATGGCCTAAATACATGGCCTCTCGTTCTTTGGCTCAAGAAAACCAAGGCTCGCTGCCCGCTCACAATCCAACCGCAGTTTCAAAGCACGCCCGTGGCTCAACCAACACACCAGAGGTTGTCGAGAGTGAACCGCACCATCTTCCCCTATGGCTGAGTTAAAACATGCAGAGACGGGATGCGGATCTGAAAGGTGAAAAAATGCCATTGGCAACCTAAGCTACCACAGGCTGGCCGGCAACAGCAAACAACCCAAAACTTTTTCAACCTCAAGTCCCTTGTCCGACTGGTGTCAATTCGGCGTGGTCTTTTGCCGGGTTTTTGCCACTCACTCAGTTGCGGCGCTCCAAGTCCGACTCTGCTGCCTGGCCGAACTCCTTGTCCACCTCACGCTGGGCTAATTGGAAGTTCTCCAATTCGGCTTCAAAGGATTGTGCAGCTTCTCTCGCTATCCTTGCTGACGTTCTGAGAGCCTGTGAAGCTCTCGTGAGAGCACGGCTGAAGACAGCTGCCTTGCGGGTCAGGCTGTCTACCCTGCCTTGCAGCCAAACAGGAACAGCAGCCACAGGAGCGGGCGCAGGCACCAGCGAGGATGCCTTTGCCTGAGCCTGCGCCGACTTGTTGTGCTCCTCGACAAGAACTTCCTCCTCACTGTCACTTGAAGAACTCGACGAGGGTGGCTTAGGAGCTGGGGCTGAACTTGTTGCAGACTTCTTCGCGGTCTTCTTGTGATCCTCCTCTCGGCGACCCTCTGCAGGCAAAGCTTTCTCCTCCCGACGATGTCGACGACGCCTGTGCCGGCTTCGGCTTCGGCTTCGCCCGCGCCGATCATCAGGGCCAGGACCTTCAGCATCTGGCCGACTTGGACCACGGCTGCGGTAGCGAGGGGCCACCACTGGACTTGGAGCGGGTTTTGGCGCAACTGTGAGGCCAAGCGCGCTTGTCGAAGGAGGGTGCCTGGGCTCCGGAGGCCTTTGGTTGTCACGTTGATCTCCATCGTGTTTTCGGCGGGACCTGTCCGACATAGCTGGCGCGGAGGCGGCGGATGTACAGGAAGGGCTTGAGCATACCTAAAAAAACAACCACGGCAAACTCACTGTCACTGCCTAAACATCTGCCATGGGACTTGGACCTGAACAGTGAAAGTCACTTTGCGAGTAGCAGCCTATCAGGCCAAGCATTTTGCCACGACCTTGCGCCGGGCTTTTGCCAGCAGCCGCTGGTTTTTTCCGATGTTTCCAACCGCCAGACCGGCGGGTCCAGCCTCTCAATGCTCGCTGCATCGCCCTTTTAGATGGCAACTCATCGTTGTCGTCCTGGTTGTCTTCGCCAACATCCTCGCCTGGCAGCTGGTAAGGGTCATCCTGCGCCTGCCAAACTTCGTCGTCCTCGACCAAGTCTTCGTTTGCGATTTTGTCCTCTGACTTCGTCGCCGTCTTGGTCGCAGGGAGGTCGTGGTCCTTTGCCTCATCTTTCTTGACCTTTTTCTTCTTAGACTTCTTAGAACGCTCGCCACATAAATCTTCAGGAGCTTCCACTTGTCCAAGTCGGGCATTGTTCTCATCCTGGTCTACCAAGTCATTGAACGAAAAGCTGCTGGTGCTTTGCAAGAAGTCATCCATGGCTCCTTTCCGGGCCGCTTGAACCACTGGAGCTGAAGACAAACAGCAAGCAAGCCACATGCGCCAAGAAAGCCGAAGAAGACCCTGGGTCAGCAGCTGCGAACAT